CTGTGCTTCAGCCTGGGCGACAGAGTGAAATTCTGTCTCAAAACAAACAAACAAACAAACAAAAACCCTAGCCCCAAGGCCCTATGACTAAATCTTTTTCTCTGCTGCAACCCTGCACTTTGAGTTGAAACAGATCTACTACAGTTATATTCCCTGACCCTGACCATCCCTGAAAATTTGAGTTAGGTGCCTTCCTTTGGGCTCACAAGGCACTTTTTTTTTTTTTGAGACAGAGTTTCTCTCTTGTTACCCAGGCTGGAGTGCAATAGCGCGATCTCGGCTCACCGCAACCTCCGCCTCCCGGGTTCAGGCAATTCTCCTGCCTCAGCCTCCTGAGTAGCTGGGATTGCAGGCATGTGCCACCATGCCCAGCTACTTTTTTGTATTTTTAGTAGAAACGGGGTTTCACCATATTGACCAGGATGGTCTCGATCTCTTGACCTCGTGATCCACCCGCCTCGGCCTCCCGAAGCGCTGGGGTTACAGGCTTGAGCCACCGCGCCCGGCCACAAGGCACTTTTAATTCTCTTACCAGAGAATTTATCACCTGTGATGATTATTTTTCTGTATCTTGGCTGGGCTACTGTGTCAATATTTGGTCAAACATTATTCTGAATGTTTCTATAAAAGTTTTTTTTTTTTTTTTTTTCGAGACAGAGTCTTGCTTTGTCACCTAGGGTGGAGTGTAGTGGCCTAATCTTGGCTCACTGCAACCACCACCTCCCAGGTTCAAGCAATTCTCCTGCCTCAGCCTTATAAGTAGCTGGGATTACAGGTACCCACCGCCACACCCGGCTAATTTTTGTATTTTTAGTAGAGTTGAGGTTTCACCATGTTTCACCCCACTCTCATCCCACTTGACTAGAGTCTCCTGAGAACAGGAGTTTAAACTGTTTTATTCATTTTTATGTCTTTTGTAGCCTGATACATCATAGCTTTTTTTTTTTTTTTTTTTTTTTTTTTTTTTTTTTTTTTTTTGAGACTGTTTTGCTGCTCTGTTGTCCAGGCTGGAATGCAGTGGCAAGATCATAGCTCACTGCAGGCTCAAACGCCTGGCCTCAAGAGACCCTCCAGCCTTAGCCTCCTAAGTAGCTGAGATTACTGGCTAATATGTAGTTAATATGGATCATTGGTTTTTATTTTTTATGAAGTATTGAAATGAAGAGTTTAATTTCACTGCAATTCTCTGAGGCTGTTAAATACTTTGAGAAGCTTCATCTCAATTCTCTTTCACTCACTATTCCCCTTTCTCTCTTCTATCAAGACTGTGTCTTCTGAAGTTAACAATGATCCAATCTCTAGAGTATTGCACTAATTCCCATTTGAAGCAGTTATCTCACTGAGACTCTCAGCAACTCATAGAAATATTTCTGAAGGAATCATTTAATTAACTCCAGAAGAAATAAGAATACAGAAGAGAAAAAGAAAGAAAGAAAGAAACAAAAACCAAACTAGGTACAAGCTACTGGAGACATTGTAACAAATGAAATTCTCTCTTCCACCAGAAGCCTAAAAAAGAAACAAACAAACCAACAAAAAACAAACTAGGTACAAGCTATTGGTGACATTGTAACAAACTAGATTCTTCCACTGGAAGCCTAAAAATCATTTAAAATACCTAGTCCCAATGCTAACCAAAAAATGTACAATCAATCTTCTCATAATTTCTATGAAGCAATAAAATATTTGAAATCAAGCCGGGCGTGGTGACTCAAGCCTGTAATCCCAGCACTTTGGGAGGCTGAGGTGGGTGGATCACGAGGTCAAGAGATCAAGACCATCCTGGTCAACAAGGTGAAACCCCATCTCTACTAAAAGTACAAAAAATCAGCTGGGCATGGTGGCGTGTGCCTGTAATCCCAACTACTCAGGAGGTTGAGGCAGGAGAAGTGCCTGAACCCAGGAGGCGGAGGTTGCGGTGAGCCGAGATCGTGCCATTGCACTCCAGCCTGGGTAACAAGAGCGAAACTCCGTCTCAAAAAAAAAAAAAAAAAAAAAAAAAAATTTGAAATCAGATAGTTTTATTTATACATATATCTAATTGGTTAGGCAGCAGATACATAAAAAGTCTCATATTTTAAGAAATTCTACAAGCCTCAGAGTTATAATTTAGAAATAATTATTGAGCACTGTATTCATATTCATTAGTAATATCTAAAAAATCTGGTTTTTGGCCTAAAAAATTAAAAAATTACAATTTTCTGTATCTTCACTTACCACCTGGCTGTTGCCCTTTCGTAAGCTTTTTATGTTCTGCCTTTGTTACCACCCCCTTCCCTTCACGATTGTCCCCTTCCGATCAGTGCCTTTTTTTCTCTACCTAAGGCAAAAATGGGAGCCAGCAAACTTTGTTTTCTCCATCTCTCCTCTCTTTCCCTCCCTTCTGCCTGCAGCTCCATGAGTAACTAAATCTTCCAGATATTCTGTGCTTATTAACAACACAGCATCCTTTTGACTTGGAACCCATAGCAGTAAGAATTTAGTTTCTCCTGTCAACTAAGAAAACTCTGGGAAAATTTTCGGTGGACAGTAAATGCCAGGTTATCTAGACTTCATTAATATATGACATAACAAATAAATACAACTTTTAGCCAAATTGTCCCCTTTATTCAATTATAAAGAGGATTTGCTGGCCAGATGTGGTGGCTCATGCCTGTAATTCCAGCACTCTGAAAGGCCCGTGGTGGGCAGATCACAAGGTCAAGAGATCGAGACCATCCTGGCCAACATGGTGACACTCCATCTCTACTAAAAATACAAAAATTAGCCGAGTGTCAGAGGTGTGCACCTGTAGTCCCTGGGAGCAGAGGTTGCAGTGAGCCAAGATCACACCACTGCACTCCAGCCTGGCTGCAGGGCAAGAACTCTGTCATTAAAAAAAAAAAAGGCCCGGCGCGGTGGCTCACGCCTGTACCACCTCATTTAATCTAGACAAGAATGCCATGAGATAGGTACTGTTAACATCACCATATTACAGAAAGAGAAACTGAGGCACAGAGCAATTGAAATAATTCACCCATGGCAGCATAGCTTGAAATAATTCCCCCCACAGTAGTGGCATTGGTATTCAAACCAAATCAGTCTGTATTCAAATCTCTTTTTTTTTTTTTTTTTTTTTGAGACGGAGTTTCGCTCTTCTTGCCCTGGCTGGAGTGCAATGGCGCGATCTCGGCTCACCGCAACCTCCGCCTCCTGGGTTCAGGCAATTCTCCTGCCTCAGCCTCCTGAGTAGCTGGGATTACAGGCATGTGCCACCATGCCCAGCTAATTTTTTTGTATTTTTAGTAGAGACGGGGTTTCACCTTGTTGATCAGGATGGTCTCGATCTCTTGACCTCGTGATCCACCCGCCTCGGCCTCCCAAAGTGCTGGGATTACGGGCTTGAGCCACCGCGCCCGGCCCGGCTCAAATCTCTTAAGTGAATTGGCTTCCTTACAGGTGAATCTTATGTGCTTATCAAGTACTGGATGGTGTGTAAAAATTTAAGAAGCAGTTCAAATATGCATTTGGACGATGAGGGAGTAACAGTAAGCTCAGCAAAATACATATTTGAAAAGAGATTAAATGTACATTTTGGAAACAAGGGAAATCTTAGTAAACAAGGTAAACAATATCTCTGAAAGGGGATTCAGATGTGTGCTTTAAGAGAAAGAGAATCACAGTATAAGTTCAGAGTTTTCAACTTTTAAAATACATAACAGGCTCTGTGGCTCATGCCTGTAATCCCAGCACTTTGGAAGGCTGAAGCGGGAGGATTGCTTAAGCCCAGAAATTCGAGACTGACCTCGGCAACATTGTGAGACCCTGTTTCTACAAAAACATTGTTTAAATTAACCAGACGTTGCCGGGCGCGGTGGCTCACGCCTATAATCCCAGCACTTTGGGAGGCCGAGGCGGGTGGATCACGAGGTCAAGAGATCGAGACCATTCTGGTCAACATGGTGAAACCCCGTCTCTACTAAAAATACAAAAATTAGCCGGGTGTGGTGGTGCATGCCTGTAGTCCCAGCTACTCGGGAGACTGAGGCAGGAGAATTGCTTGAACCCGGGAGGCGGAGGTTGCAGTGAGCCGAGATCATGCCATTGCACTCCAGTCTGGGTAACAACGCGAAAGTCCGTCTCAAAAAAAAAAAAAAAAAAAAAAAAAATTATTCTACTTTATATATAATGTAAAATTTTATATATAACATATGATATAAACATCAGCATACAGCCTCTCACAAGTTAGCCAAATACCTTTTTTTCTTTTTTGTTTTTTATGGACACCCTAGAGGTGATTTTTTGAAGCACTAGCAATATAATATATTTCTTTTTTTTTTTTTTTTTTGAGACGGAGTTTCGCTCTTGTTGCCCAGGCTGGAGTGCAATGGCGCAATCTTGGCTCACCGCAACCTCCGCCTCCTGGGTTCAGGCAATTCTCCTGCCTCAGCCTTCTGAGTAGCTGGGATTACAGGCACACGCCACCATGCCCAGCTAATTTTTAGTATTTTTAGTAGAGACGGGGTTTCACCATGTTGACCAGGATGGTCTCGATCTCTCGACCTCGTGATCCACCCGCCTCGGCCTCCCAAAGTGCTGGGATTACAGGCTTGAGCCACCGCGCCCGGCCAATATATTTCTTATCTTTATTAGCAAATGTACAACATCTGTTGATGTTTATAAACTGAGATTACATTTTCACACAGTATTTGGGTATTACGGTTTTCCTTCCAACAGGCTTATCATGTTTCACAGTTTTTACTAAATATGATTTGCCGGATCATTGTTAAAAAGAAAACAAAATTGTCGGAGGCTGGGCGTGGTGGCTCATGCCTGTAATCCAAGCACTTTGGAGGCCAAGGTGGGTGGATCACCTGAGGTCGGGAGTTCAAGACCAGCCTGAGCAACATGGTGAAACCCCGTCTTAAAAAGTAAAAATAAAAAATTAAAAAATTAAAAAAAAAAAGAAAACAAAACAAAATTGTCAAATGCACCTAAACACTTAAGAAACACAACTGCTGATCCTTTTGTAGTTCCTAAGTGTGATAATTCAGTGTTCACGTGCATGTATGAGAAATGTGCCCTCAATCCTTGTTATGACGCGGTCCATTACCCATCTGATGTGAAAATTTTAAAAAATTTAAACAAAAGGCCGGGCGCGGTGGCTCATGCCTGTAATACCAGCACTTTGGGAGGCAGAGGCGGGTAGATCACGAGGTCAAGAGATCAAGACCATCCTGGTCAACATGGTGAAACCCAGTCTCTACTAAAAATACAAAAAATTAGCTGGGCATGGTGGCGCATGCCTGTAATCCCAGCTACTCAGGAGGCTGAGGCAGGAGAATTAATTGCCTGAACCCAGGAGGCGGAGGTTGTGGTGAGCCAAGATTTCGCCATTGTACTCCAGCCTGGGTAACAAGAGCGAAACTCCGTCTCAAAAAAAAAAAAAAAAAAAAAAAAAAAATTTAAACAAAGGAGAGAGAGAAAAAGGAACATTACTACTAATAAAGTGTGATTTTTTTGTTGATTATTTTGTTTTTAACTACTCTACCATAAAATTTCAGGGCCTATAGGACCATGGAATCAATTACAATGAGAAGGGTAGAAACTCAGTAAAAACATGGCAAATAAGGCTGAACAATCACAAAGAAAAGAAGTCACACTGTTTGGAGAATGAATTTGTTTTCAGTAAGAAACCAGTTTGCCTGATTCCACACTACCAATTTGAAATTTGATATTGTTACCCTCAAATTATTGTTTAAAAAGAAGTGTTATAAATTAAATAAAAAGTTTTCATTCAATCTGTCAGGAAGACATTTTTGTTATAACAAATTTGTCTACAATGGTGGAGTGTCAGGAGATATGCAAATAATCCAAGACAAAGTAAACTCTAAAAGAGTATTAGTTGGCTTTGATAATGATACCAGTACAAGGAGACTTCAGTCACATTTTCCCCAATAAATTGGAAACAACGGCCGTAAGACTGTTTTCTAAGAGTTAAACTTTAAGATCACATACATAGCTAGGAGTAGAAATAAGCAAAGTCACCTTTAAAACACAAACTGGTCTGATTTAACTGTAACTTGATTTTTATTGAAAGAATATTGCTACGATGTTTGGGTAGCCATGGAAACAGAGAAACTAATGTACAGGGGGCACTTCAGGGCCAGTGGTCATCCAAGTGCTGTTAAGGAGAGAATGAGCACAAATCAACAGCTCAGCTGGATGGCCCACTATATTGCAGATCAATGCTGATAACTGCAACCACTGGAAATTGAGAACTTCTATCTTTGGGACAAAATCATCCTGTTCTGAAGATAGCTGAATCAAGAAAAGTCTATACGTATAACTCCACTTGTTCAGAATCTGTGCTCATCAAGCAACCTTCTGATAATGCCTTGGTTTCCTGAGTAGCTTTGGCTACACAGAAAATGCACTCAGGGGGCTGGGCATGCTTGTTCACACCTGTAATCCTAGCACTTTGGGAGGCTGAGGCAGGCAAATCATGTGTGGTCAGAAATTTTGAGACCAGACTTGCCAACATGGCAAAACCCCATCTCCACTAAAAATACAAAAATTAGCTGGCATCTTGGCTCCTGTGTGTTAATCCCAGCTACTCAGGAGGCTGAGGCAGGAGAATCGCTTGAACCCAGGAGGTGAAGTTTGCAGTGAACCAAGATTGTGCCACCTGGGCAACAGAATTGAGACTCCATCAAACAAGAAAAGAAAAGAAAGAAAGAGAGAGAGAGGGAGAGAGAGAAAAAGAGAGAGAAAGAAAAAGAAAGAGAGGGAGGGAGGGAGGGAGGAAGGAAGGAAGAAAAAAGAGAAAGAAGGAAGAAGGAAAGAAAAGAAAGAAAGGAGAAAGAAAGAAAGAAAAAAGAAAAAAAGAAAGAAAGAAGAAAGAAAGAAAGAAAGAAAAAGAGAAAATGTACTCAGGAAAAGACAGCAACTTGCATCCATGCTGGCACACTGGAGACTTTCTCTTTCTGACAAAAAGTAAAAAAAAAAGAAAGAAAAAAGTATTGACTTTGCAGTTGTGAGTGTTTGGGTGTATAAATTACTGCTCTTGGAAATTAATAACTTAATAGTCAGCTTATACATGTCAGTCTTGTGACCTTGGTTAATGTAAGTTCATCTGATTGCTAAAGTTATTCTCCATTGCTCAAGACAGATGTTTTGGCTGGGTGTGGTGGATCATGCCTATAATCCCAGCACTTTGGAAGACCAGTGCAGGAGGCTTGCTTGAGCTCAGGAGTTTGAAAACAACCCAGTCAACAGAGCAAGACCTGGTCTCTACTGGGGGCGGGGTGGGGGGGGAAAGCTAGGTATGGTGGCAGGCACTCGTAGTCTCAGCTACTTAGGAGACTAGGACAGGAGGATTGCTTGAGCCTGGGTGGTTGAGGTTGCAGTGAGCAGTGATCATGCTTGCTACCGTACTCCAGCCTGGGCAGCAGAGTGAGACCCTGTCTCCAAAAAACAAAGAAAGATGTTTCTGTGTCCAGGATACTATAGACCAGATCCTAGAAGGTTGTAGAAATTCGCTAAAGTAATGTTTTCTTGTGCTCTCGTGGATGATCAGTGGGCTTTCCCCTAGCAATGACCCTGTATCAACAAGATAAACCTTTTCTTTTCTTTTTTCTTTTTTTTGAGAAAGAGTCTCACTGCAGCCTTGACCTCCTGGGCTCAAGTGATCCCTTTGCCTCAGCCTCCTGAGTAGCTAGGACTACAAGCATGTGCCACTATGCCTAGCTAGTTTTTTTTTTCTTTTTAATTTTTTTTTTTGCAGAGGTAGGGTCTCCCCATCGCCCAGGTTGGTCTGGAACTCCTGGTCTCAAGCAATCCTTTTGCCTTGACCTACCTAAGTATTAGTATTATAGGCATGAGCCACCAAGCAAGGCCATGGCCTTGAAGTAGAAACTTTTCTACTTCAAATTAACAACAATGGGGAGGGAGATGTTCATAATTTACCTCTCTTTGTTATTTTATTTATTTTAATATTGCTACAGTGACAATTCCATGCACATACATCAGCTACTGGTGGGGAAGATCATTCAGACCAGAAGTGATAAGAAATCCTTGAATTTTAAATATGTTATGGGTAGTGTACAAAGTGGACAAAAGATACCATTTACTAAACATCTACCATATGCTCAGACACTATATATATATAAAATTAAAATATCTATAAATATTATTTATTTATTTTACATATTTTGCTTATATTTATTTATTTATTTATTTAAGAGGCAGAGTTTCACTCTTGTTGCCCAGGCTGTAGTGCAATGGCGTGATCGCGGCTCACTACAACCTTCACCTCCCGGGTTCACGTGATTTTCCTGCCTCAGCCTCCCAAGTAGCTGGGATTATTGGCATACACCACCACGCTTGGCTAATTTTGTATTTTTAGTAGAGACGGGGTTTCTACATGCTGGTCAGGCTGTTCTCAAACTCCCAACCGCAGGTGATCTGCCCATCTCGGCCTCCCAAAGTGTTGGGATTACAGGCTTGAGCCACCGCGCCCGGCTCTGACACAATATTATCATCATTACAGTCTCTCATTTCCAGATACACTCATCTGCCTACATTACACTTGCCTGGTAAAATCCAGCATGAGCAAATCTTACTATCCAACATCTCTTTGGCAGTACCGAAGAGCTGAACACTGTGATGGAAAAATCATATAAATAAACTGAATGACTTATTTCACATCTGTAATCAGAAACTTAAAAAGAGCTCTCAGCAGAGCATGCCCATGCTACTCTGTTCCTCACACTAGTTTTACTTTCACTCTCTGAGATAACTTCTCAATACACCAAGATTTCTCAGCCTGTCCCTTATTTCACTGAGAACATACTGGCAAACTGCAGGTTGAACCATTGACACATCCACCCACCAGACACAAGAATGCTCATTTTATCAACTTGTAAACGTGGTCAATTTAAGAGTTCTTGGAAAGGTCTCAGATCAAAGCGTTGCCCTGCAAGGATAATTCTAATTGCAGGAACTCCCTCCGTCCAGCAGGAGGCGCCAGCACCCTCTGCCGGGGTTGGGCCGCCACGGAGGCCTCACGTGATCAGGCCGTCTCTGCGCAGGAGTGCGGCCCTGCGGAGATTTGCCCTACGTACTAGCGTCATGACGTCGTACGTAGGGGCTGGCTAGCCGCCATCTTGCTTCTTTTTCTCGCTCGCTCGCTTCGTCTCGGGAAGCTGCGAAAGTGCTTTGGCCGTTTGTCCATCCGCAGCTTCGGCTTTTCCACTCCGGTGGCCCTTCCGGCCACCCATTTAACCCCAGCTTTCCCTCCTCCTTCTTTCGATCTGAGCTCGGCGGAGACCCTCGAAGTGCGTCAACTTGACACTCACCCTGACCGGTAAGGAAAGCAAGGTTGTGGGGGCCGCGATCAAAAAGGCCCCTATCAGGAAGGGCCAGCGTGCGACCCTTGGCGTGGGAGCGCACCCAGACCCTGGCGCCTGTAGGCTAGGGGGCCGCGTGGAGAGGGCCTCGAGTCCGGGCATCTCCCTTGTCTTTGGTTACCATCATCTCTGTGTCTGGGGAAGTCGGCCTCCAGCTTGGGGAGCGGGAAACCGGAGTCAGACCCGCCCCATGTGGTCTGCAGCAGGAGTCCTGGACCGGTCTGTCTTGCTACCACCCAGACCCCAGTCCTGGCCCTGCTAGGGGATTACGCATGTTTTCGGGTAAGCGAAGGGGGTTTCCGTCTTGCTGGACTGGCGGACGTGCAGATTTTTTTTTTTTTTTTTTTTTTAAAGTGTGCGGTATGCTTCCACTCAAACAACTGAAGGTCTCAGCCGGGGCCTTCACTGTCTACCTCTTCTTATGTAGTGAGGGTGGGACTTCCAATGAGCAATGTATGGGAGGGTCTGGACTAAAAGACCTGATTAGGTGAGAGGCTCTTCAGGGAATCATGACCAGCCCTACTTCCGCTAGGGAAGTGCTGCCCAACTCCAGAGGAGGATTTGAGTAGTTTTTTCATACTCTAGGCCGCTCCATTCTCTAACTTGGGTGGTGAATCTCGGTAGCTCCCTGTCTTTGAGGTAGCGTTGATATTGGTGGTGTTAGGGTGAAGTCCCTGTTTTAGGACTGAAGAAAAGGGCATGGGGCCAGTAGA